TTTTTCTTCCGCTGCACTGCCGGTGACTTTTTCGCAAATCACAGTAAAAGCCGCGCCGCCTAGCTGGCACTTTTTAATTCGCTCGCGTGCCATCCAGCTGTCCTCTGGTGGTTACGCTATCCCTGTTTATACATGCACATAAAATATCACGTATTTCTTAAAACTAAAATTTTAATTTACATTTTCTATAAATAATTTTACTTATTATTATTCTATTAATTTATATAAAAAATTCATTTATGATGTCAAAATAGATACATACATATATATATATATATAGATACTCACGCACGCACGCACACGTACCTATGTATTTATATATCCTCCACGTAAAAGAATTTGTAACTTGGTGGTGTAATTAGTCTTATTCAAGATAATAGTGATCTAATCTTGATTAGCATAATTTAAAATTAAGATAATGAAGATTGCTTAATGGTTAATTAAATATTTTAATTATTAATTAAGAATTCTTTGTTTAAAATTAAATATTAATTAATAGTGCTTGCCAACTTTCCCTTCTTGATTTTGTAATCCATCCATCTAGATTTGCAATCGATTGTGTATCATCTTGAGGTAACATTATATAAAAATTTGATACTCCTATAACTTAATATATACATACATACATATATTTATATATCTACTTTTTTTTTCAACCCAAATAATAAAAATATGTTACCTTGCGTTTTCTTCGGTACTCTAATTTTTTTATTAAATATAAATAATAAGATGGTATAAACTTAATTTAATTTAATTATTACAGTCTCATTGATGTATTAATAAATAAATTTTTTAATTTTATTAATTTTAAAATTATGAATTCACTAACAATATATTATATACTTACAAAATAATAAAATTAAAATTTTAAATTAAAAAAATATAAAATAATAATAATAAAAACAATTAAGTGATAAAATCAAATGCGATCCTAAAAGATTCTTTAACTCGTCCGCCGTCAAGGAGATACCGTCTGTTGACTAAACGTCGTACCCGGGAATCACCACGTGTCGGAAGGCGAGAAAGACACGTGGCGTCATCGGACCGATGCTATCTTGTACGGTCCGAAGTACTTGTGTATTTTTTTTTTATATTGAGATCCGAACTTGACAGTTGTAACTCTGTTAAGTGACCGCGTTCCGTCTGATCTGATCGCTAGGGCTTAGACACCTATAATCTATATTAACTAATTGATTAATTAGTATTTAAGGGATTAAATACTAATTAATCAATTAATTAATACAAATAATAATTATGTATTTGATTTTTTATTTGCATTAATTTACTTAATATTAAATTTGACATTGGTTATACGTAATAAATTAATATATTTTAAATATTTAAAATCAAAATTTAATTTAATTTTAAAGTGAAAGAAATTAATCCAATTTATAATTAAAATTTATATTTCAACTCTGTGTCTAATATAAAAATTTATATATACTTTATTATATTTTTTAAAAAACTTACTCATATAAATATTTAATAAAATATGAGCGGTCGAAATTTCATTTTAGGTGATAAATTAATGTGTATTTTTTTATAATATCTTATAAATAAATAAATATATTAAACATATGTACATATTATTAATTTTCATCTGCAAATATTGTCGTGTGTGTGTGTGTATATGTATATATATATATATGTATATGTTTGCTATATCGTCATCAAGAAATATTCAGAAGATCCAAAATGGAAAGCTAAGTAGTGATATATTATAATTTTGTGTGTAGTACTTTCCGACACTTACAATTTTATATTAGTCTTTATTTTTCATTGTTTATTTTCTTCCATAATTACGCGTTATATATGTTTTTTTATATATATATATACATATATATATATACACATATACATATGCTTTTTCTTTTTCTTTTTATAAAAATTTGATGGTTTTTTTTTATAAAAAAATTACGTATTAGGTGTAAAGGTACGTACGTGACACATTGTTCACACACAATGTATATATAATATGAACCGTCGTATGTACACACACACACACATATATATATACATACATATATATATACATACACCCAAATATACGTAGTGCATTTTATTAATTATTAATTAATTATTTTTTCATAAAGTGATGAGAAAAAATAATTTATATATCCGAAATTAGTTTTTTAATCACATTGATTTATTTAGCATACTTTTATTATTTTTTTTAATTAAGAAATAATGTATATTCGAAATTTTAAAAAAATATAATGATAAATACAATGTAATATATCATTAATGACTATTATATATATATATATATATATATATAACATAAGATCCAATAATTATTGGATTTTGGTATTTATGATATGTATGCATTTATTATTTTCAAATTTTATTAATTAATCAACAATTTTTCATGTAATTATAGTAATTAATATCCTATATTTTTTAATAAAAAATTATATATTTATTAATTAAAAATACAAGAACATTAATAATAACGTAACAAAAATAAAATTTTTTAATATAAAAGAAACGACAGATACAATAATCTGAAAATAAAAAACTTATAATTTATTACACATTATAATTCAAGAGACCCCGATGAGATATTCTCTGATGATGTTCAGATTCTCGTATGAGGTGGTTATAGGTAATGATGCATTTCATTCTTGATCTTTTTTTTCTACCAAAATATCGGATTTCTAAATTCTCATAAGGGTCTCCTGGAATTCCTTCCAGAACCTGTTGAATAATTTTTACGGATTCTGTCATTTTACTGATTCGCACTAAATAACGAGCTAATAAATCTCTTTCTTTTTTTTCCATCGGACTTCCCGATCAAATTCATCGTAACACTCACAATGATCAACTTTCCGAATATCCCATTCTATCCCAGATGCGCCTAGCATTGGTCCGGATAATGCAGTCCAGAGAGCTGGACAAAAAGCTTGGTTTATCAGATAGTCCGCACACTGATTTTTTTATCGACATAAATAATTTTTAAATAAATTAATTAATAGATAAAATTCAACTCGAATTCACGGTATTAATAACAATTTTCACATAAAATTATGTGTAAATGACGATACAATCCAACATCAATCTATAATTTTTTTCTGAACGTACCGAATATATAATTACTAAATATTTATATTACGTAAAATAAGCAAAATTTATTGCGAGGAAGAAAAAGGGGGAAAATATTGAAAAAAAATATCAATATGATTATATATCAATCGGGCAATAAATATAAATCGACAAAATTATGGGCTGTGAAGTGGGTCTTTATAAAAAAAATTTGATATGTTACATAATGAAATTAATAATTAATTAATCATTATATATATATATATGTATATATTGATAGTTGGTATTTTTTTAGAGGGTTTAGAAGGCAGTGTAGCGTGTATATATATATATATATATATATTAATATGTATAGCTACTATCTATTTTATCTACACACCAAAGTACATGCATGCACAATCTTGATCCATATATATATATATATAATTATATATAAACTAAAGACACATTATTTATGCATACATATAATAAATTGTTGGACAGATAATAATACATACGCACCAAATTATATAGATGTATACTCTCGAATATTGAATATATATATATATATGTGTGTGTGTGTGTGTGTGTATTTACGTAGCATTAAAATATTGACAAACATGAGATTTTTGAAAGCACTTTTTGTTGTTATTAGCCCATCAATATAACCTTTTCCTTTGTATTGGCATATCCAAGTCAACTTGTGGGTCACTCAGAGAAGAGTGCATGGAAGGTTCAAATTAATATCACCTTTACATATATATATATATATATACATATATACATATACATATATGTCTACATATAGTCATACATACGTACACACATACACATGTACTTAGACTTTGAAAATCAATAAAACTTGACCTACGCATTGAAATCAATTAATAAATAAATATTAGTTACTTACCCTTGTGGTATTTTTTATAATATAATGAAGAACAAAGATATACACATATATATATATATATATATTTATATTGAATATATATATATATATATGTAAAGTTAAAAAATAATTAAGAGATCGTGATGCACTTCTAGAGTCAGTAGGCACTCATAAATATTTATTTATTAATTGATTTTAGGTCAAGTTTTATTGATTTACAAAGTATATGTATATGTGTATGTGTGTACGTATATATGACTATATATAAGCATATATGTATATGTATATATGTAAAGGTGATAATTTGATCCTTCCATGCACTTTTCTCTTACCCACAATTATAGAGGTAAACTTACATATATGTATATATATATATTTATATCAAATATATATATATATATGTAGAGTGAACAAACACTCAATGATATTGTCAGTAAAAAATTGTTGAAGATCGTTAGACATTTAAATATTAAATATTAAATTTTTACTTTTTATAAAATTCATTTTATTAATATTAATTAATTAAAGTATATATATATATATAATACAAATATTATAAATATGTGTAGCTACAAGAAATACGGAAATGACATAAGCAATGAACTAGTCAATTAATCACACACCCACACACACACATATATATATATATATATAAATATATACTTCCTCCACAAGGCAAAGACTATATATATATATATATATATATATGTAAATTTTAAAAAATCATAATTTAAAAATTAAGAACTGATATTAATATTAATATTAAATAAAATATTTTAATCAATTTCTACTTTATAACAAAATTAATTAATTTTTTAAAAAAAATTTGAAAGGAATTGTCATGGGATTTCATACTGGAAAAAAGCGTATGCAGGAAATGAAGCCTCCTCTTTCCAAATAGTCTATTCCACGTGGTTGGGGACTAAACCTCTGTTTGTCTCCCGAGAAAGTCCCTCGCTTTCTTGTCTCCTGTATCTATATAAATTCCATCCAACCTCATGGCTGCCAAACTGTAGTTTTCATTTTAGCTTTGCAAGAAAAAAGGAGCTTTCTTTATATATATATATATATATAGAGAGAGAGAGAGAGAGAGAGAGAGAATAAAACACAGAAGTGAAAGAGGAAAATACAGAATCAAACTGAACCAGAGAGAAAAAAACACAGAAAGGAAAATCATTTCTACACCCCCTCCATTTATCCTTTCTATCATTGTTGTTTTCTTCTTCAAACCACAGATCACATTTGTTTTTTGTATCTGCAACTCCTCCTCTGTTCAAGGTAATGCGCCTTTTTTCTCCATGTCTCATCTTCTCTCCTTCTTGTTAGAGGGAGGGAAAGAGTTCTAATGTAGTAAAGGCTTGTTCTTTTACCGTTAATGATGTCTTCTTTTTTCTTTGATGATTTTGTGGATCGGTGCTTTTATTTTTGATGGGTTTGTTTGCAAATGTTTGATCTAGCCTGTAATTACACATGGGTATTACTGTATGTATAGCTCATTTTAGAAACACCTCATTTTAGCAGACGATATTTGTAAAATCCAGGAATTACAGATAAATATAATGATGTGAACTATATGTACAGCTGTATATCTTATCTGATTAATTTGATCGAAATGGCTATTCAGCGTTTTCTGTTTTAACTTCCTGTCAAAGCTTGATTTCCCCCCCCCCTTTTTTTTTTTTCTTTCGCTGACTCTTCTTTTCAGATTTCTGGGTTTTTCAGTTAAAATTTTGATTTTTTATTTTTTTTGGCTCATGGGTTCTGCAGATCCATGGTGTTGTAATGGGTTTGTATTAAGTATTTAGATTAAGTTCCTTCTTGAGCATTTCATTGTCAGTAGAGGAAAATGGTTGGCTTGTTTTCGTCATTTTGTTGCTTTAAGAGAGAAAATGGGTGATTTTGACATCTCCATGATTGGTTTCTGGTTGATTTAGTGAGCTATAAGAATGTATATGTGCTTCTCTTCTAGATGATTTTATCGCATAGAATTTGGGTCTGAAGTTTACCAGAAAGAGCTTGTTTCAGAATGTTCATTTTTCCATTACCAGAATAATGAATAGTATTTT